CGTTTTAATGTTTTACTTGAGCTGTGGCGGTCATCTTGAACGATGTTGACTCCAAAAAATGAATTAGTTATTCAGTCATTTCTGAGATTTTAATAAAATTATGTTTAGTGGTTCAAGAAATTTAAACAGATTCACAAACTGGTAAATTGCATGATTGCTTACTTTTCATGGCAGCGTCCTACAACAACAGTGTTTTGAAATTATATATATTTTTGATAAAGTTTTTATGTTTCAGTGAAGCGTGTGGTTATGGACCTAATACATTTCCTTTTGTTGATTCTTAATTTAACTGGATTGTTTGAATTAATTCTGAACTATATGCATTTTTTAAAGCCAAGTTTGATTCATTTTTATTCATAAAACATAAAGGTGTTTTAGTTTTAATTATGAAACATGGATTTATTATTTATTTTTACTGAAGTGTTTTAAATAATAAAGTGAACTCAAACTTTCTGAAAGATAAACATTCGTCAAGAATGAGTTTGACTGATCTAAATCTAATGAATCAAACCCAATCTTAAAAAATATTTTGACCCAAATCCGATATTTTGTAACAAGTTTCATTGTAAAAGAAAAAAAACATACATCTGTAATTGTGTGAAAAGCTGGTGTTTGTGTTGTTGGGGACACAGGTGCCCTTTTCTCTTTGTAGATTTCATTACCATTGCCTTCGTGTGTGTCCATTCTGTGCCTCAGGCTGCCATCCGTAAGGAGCTGAATGAGTTTAAGAGCCGCGAGATGGAGGTTCACGAAGACAGCAAGCAGTTCACCAGGTACTCATGAAGTCCACGGCCTCCTCCGTTTAACCCGACTCCGAAGCTTTATTAGTCATTTGTCTCGGCAGATCTCGCCGTCTTGCTGTTTATTAGCTCTCACTGATCAATACGTATGTTATTCTGGACTCCTAAGGTTTTTCCCCACAGTCCTGATTAAAGTCATGATGGGTCAGCTTTAGTTCATTAGCTGCAGGCTCCGAGTTCAAGTGAGGTTCAGGTTGTTTCAAACGTTATTAGACTTGTGCGGCATTAGGTGAGTGCACGAAGAGAAAACTGCAAATAAACCTTTTGATGTAAAGACAAATAAAAAAAATAAATCACATCTCTGAAGCAGCTATGTGATGCTTTTCCTAATATCTGTTTTACTGTGGCTCTACTGTTGCAGCAGCTGTAACCTCCTGCAGCAAACAAGAAAAATGTACCATATGTTAGTTTTAGTTTTTTTTTTTTTTTTTACTAATGTTTTAGTTTTAAAATCCTAGGCAACCGATTAGAAGAAACAATGCACAAAATTTAACTTTTAATGTTTAGATTTACCAAGAAGCAACTTTTTTTCAGTTTTTTTTTTTCAGGTTTTATTGTGTGATTTGTTGTGAAATAGGCTGATATTAAATCACCTTCATTTATTTCACATCAAATTCAGCATTTGGACATTTAGGTTTTTTTTTTAAATCTGCTCCCTAGTACTTATAAGATTAATTGAAGTGTTTGGTTACACATCTTTTTAAAAACATTTAGGTGTTGCAGACTTTTACAAACAAGTTGGCGCGAGAAAAAAATGACTAGCTGCAACTGCTGACTCATTTAAACGAAATGGAGGCCGTTACATGGCAAATAAGATCCACGCAGACAGACTGAGGCAGTGTTTGGAATAAAAAGGTTTTAAGCGACACAGTTTGAGATGGCAACCAGAAGTCCAACTGGTGGGGTCAGCAATATTTTGGTGGGTCGGGGACATAACCCTCGTCGGCCACCCCCCACTTGTGGCACCCCTGGTGATTGACAGCTTATGTTCCACAGATGAATGACATGATGAGGTAGAGCCTCAGCTCTGAGCACCTCTCTGCTGGATGTGAGGGACAAACAGGGAGATTTAATTTATGTGGCATTAGTAGGGACAAAAGTTTTCCGATACATTTTTTCAACTCCACAGACCGTAGCACTCCTGATAGCCCAATCTGCCCCTGATCAACAACATCAACAAATTCCTCATTTGAAATTTTACAATATTTAAATTGAAGTTGTAATTCATATTGCATTGTATATTTTTTACCAGGTTTTGTGTGATAATCATTAATAGCCTAAAACGGTAGCAGCAGATGTTGAGACAGGATTACTTTAAACACAGTTTTAAACTCTTAAAAAAACCTGTCAGCTCTGATTTTGCTTCTGACACAAAGTGTAAAATGCTTAAGTAACAAAATTTAGAGCTTCAGTTGTGACTGTTTGACTGTCTGTCGTCTGTATTCATGAGAAACGTCCATGCGTTTGTTTGTTTTTCTTCAGATTCCATCGACCATAAAGAGCTGCAAACCAGAAGCTCGGTGGTCTGCAGGTCCTGGCTGTCCTCCAGCCCCTCMCTCTCCATCTGCTTCTGAATCCAGTTGACCTTTGTTTTTCTTTCTTTTTTATTCCCTAAGACACTTTGAATGGACGTAGCAAGAAAAGCTCAGTTGTTTTCATTATTTACAACATTAAACATGGCTGCAGTTGATATAGGTGAGCCAGATACAAGGCTGCGTGTGTGGACTCCTTGGAGGTTTAATAGAGGTTTTACATTTGCTTCAACTTTGCTTTTCTTGCTGCAGCGATTCAAAAGGTGGAGATCTGTGGCTTCTGGCGATGCCTTTTTAAAATGACAGCTGCAGGCGTGTCTTAAGGCCATTTGAAGGCAGCAATGGAACATTTGCACATATCTATGGTGAGAATAGTGCTGTGTATAGCTCGCTGGATAGAACCTTTTATTTATTGTAAAGTACTATTTCGTATTTTTTGTTTGTTTGTTTTTTGGGTTCTCCTCAGGCCTTGCATCGAGAGGTCACTGTGAGAGAGAAAAGATACATTGGCTTTGTTTTGTTAATGTGGCTCAAAATGTACTATAAAGTAAGTCTGCTTGCCAAGTTATGCCTTGTCAGAAGCTTACAATGGCCATATATGGACATCCTCGTGAAAACAGGAAATGGGGATGATTGGAGGCTGTTGTGCTGATGTCAGTGCCTGTGTTTAGAAACGGAGGAGGAGGAGAGGCAGTTTGTTCCGGTTCGATGTGCCTCTCTGCATTAACTCAAATACACTGTAGCTCGTTATTAAAATTAGACTGCCACTAGAGGTCATTATATCATAAAAGTTACAGAAGGAGGAGCTGTTTGTGAAAGTGTTACATTTGAACAGTGAATATAATAGATATCACCCCCATTGTAATTCTAACTCCCCAACATGTCTTCAGATAATCCATAGTGATTTAAACCATCATATATCCTGCGTTAAGTAGTTTTGAACATGTCTTATTTTTTACTGGCGTTTTTTATTTAAGGCTTTTGACAGGGGCCTCTGACACAGAGGAGATGTTGCCAAAGAGAAGGCAGGGATTTATTTATTGATTACTTAGTTTGCTGACAGGTTTGAGTTTGTTGGGGGAGCTTAATCTGAAAGTTTTATAAGTAGGGTGCTGGCGCTGTTGACCACTGAGGCAAGCAGCAGGAAGTAGACAAATACTTCTTTTTCTTTTCTTGAACACATTTTCTTAGTCTTACCACCTCATTTTAGCTATAAAGAACAGTAAAAATACCAACAAATGTTTACCAGAGGGCTGTAGTTTGCAGCTTGTGTTCTCTTTACACTGTGCTGTAACATGCACCTTGAATTCAAGTCATTAAGGGTTTTTTGGGGTGGGGGGTGTAATATTGTGGTTAAAAAAGCAAATATGTACTTATTTTATTACTGAATAAAGTTTTTGTTTATATTCCTAGCTAAACGCAGAGAGGTGACGCAGTCAGGAGGATTTTAGTGTGAATTTATCATTTCAGCCACCTAATAATTTAGTCAAGATAAAAATCCAAATATTCAGGTTGCATGTTAAAGCAGTGTGTAAAAAGGATGGATTAAATATGTTTTCTTACTGTGCGAATGGCTGAATATAAGCGGTGGAGCTTTTTTTTCTGTTTCATCTCGGGAGATTTGTGTTGATGAGTGATTGACAGTTTGGGCTCGTCATCATCCAAAACTCTTGTTTTGTTTTATTTTTCTTTTGCTTTTCTTTTCTTAGCCCTCCATTCTCCCGAACACTTGTCATTCTTACAAACAGAAAAAACAAAAACGACAGTTTCTTTGCTTCTCAGTGTGCGGAGGTTGTAAAACAAAAAGATGTACAGCGATGGCAAACAACCAACAGTATTCATTCATGTTTATGTTGATATATTTGATTTTGTTGTTGTTGTTGTTGTTGTACATAATGTGTATTGAGCATGTGCATACGATGAAATTTATTTTACTGCAAATATGACACAATGTGTATGTTTTTAATGTTTTTTTCCCCTCTAGATATTTTTAAACGCTGATAAAAAAAAAAGGAGCCATGCTGCTCAAATATAAATGTTTTTAGGCAACATATCGTGGTGTTCTCAAGTTGTTTTCTGTAAAAAAAAAAAAAAAAAGACAAATTTTAAACCCCTTGTTTTATTTTCTCAGAGGACTGTAGGTCACTCTGARCATCTGGAATTCTTTTAAATAATTCTGTTTATCCTGAAACATTATGCAGTTTAGTTTTAAACCATATCTCTGCAGGAATGAGTAAATAAGAGAATTATCCATTTAGAAATGAGCGTTTTTATAAAAATGACTTTACAATGATTCATAAATACATTAGCATTACATTTGAAGCAAATTTATTATAAATGTTTCATTACATAATACCGTTTAAAATGATTAAAATGGTGAACTTTTATGATTAGTTTACAGAATGCATGAGTAAAAGAAAACTGTATGGCACAAATACGCCCATACTTGAGCCGACTGGTGAATATGTTTCATGGGAGAAGTTACAATTCTCGAGTAGGTAGACATGCAAATTTTAATTTATTGCATTTTAGATGCCAAATAGAATTGGAAAGAAATTGGAAACCTGACAAACATACCATGATACCATGGATTGGAGTTCTGAAAAAGCAATATATGCATGATAATATAAAATAAACACAAGATATCTGTAGATCCAAAGAAGAGATTGTTTTTTTTCTGTTGCAAAACTCTTAATATTTGGTATTCAGGTCAAACTCAGAGGAATGTTTAATACCCTCTACAAGTTCAGTGCTTTTTCTTCAGCTGCTGTTTTCAATTTGTAATGATTCGAACCCCTACTACTTCCAAAAAAAAAAAAACCTTTATATTTGAGAATGTGTGCTCTTGAATTGGTGCTTCATTCTTCCTGTATCACCTTCCAGGAGAAGAATCTGTTCACTTTGGACTTGAGAGCTTCAAAACAGGCTGCAACTGTTTCCTCTAATCAAAATGTTGATCACATTTTTTTCCTTTTAAAACTGAGAAGCTTCAATGTTTTCAGCTTTAAATGTGGTCAGATATTTTTTCTCTTTTTTTTAGCTCAAAGATTCAAAAAGAAAAAAGCAGATTATATTTCACATAATTTGCCACAACTCCTGTTTGAAGTTACATTTTAATGTTATACAGTATATTCAAAAACAGCTCCTGTTACATCCTAAATGTGTAGAAATGTGTTTTTGTATATAAAGATCCACAGAGGGGGAAAAACTAAAAGTTGTCATGTTTTTTTTTTTTTATGTCAGACTGTGTTCGGTGGATAAAAACGTACTAACAATATTCCATGGGCAGCAGCAGAGCTCACAGATGAATGAATATTGCACATGTACAGTATGTTTTTTCAGTCTTACTGAAAGCATAATAAAAAAAATCTAAAAATTCAAGAGGGCAACGCACAGAAACCAAGCTAAGAGAAGCATGGTTACTGTTATATTGCATCACTTTTTCTATCATAAGAATTGTCTCCTTTTGGGGTTTGAAGACACTAAATTTTGCAGTTTTTTGTGATCTTCCAACAGTCTGTGGTCATCTTTGTTTAAGAGACAGATCTGGGCTACAGGTCATTCTGTTGAATTACGGTTTCAGCTTTTATTTCTGAATGCAGTAATGGATTGTGCTGCTGGCAGTGCTGCATATTTTTCTTTGAACCTAATGAGTTAATTTTTACTTGAACTGCACACGGCTCATTTTGGTGACATTAGATGTTCGTTTTAGTGAATAGCTGCAGTAAACTGAGACTCCCARGAGAATCATTAAAACAGAGCATCAAGCTTTGACAGTGACCACAATTTAAAACTTTGTCGACCAAATTTCAGTCATTTGAATCCGTGTATCATTTGTTCTTTCTATTTTTAATTGCCAATCAAAAATCACGGATTCAGTTGGACTTTCTTTGACAATTAGAAACATGAGAACGAGAGCATCATTACAGATACAGTATGTGTGCAAACAGAAGATGAAAAGATGAAAATGTTGCAAGACTTTTTATTTGCAGATTGCAAATAAAAAGTGATTACACTTTAATGACTTTATCCTATATATTTGTCTCTAATAACAATAAAAATGGCCAGTACAGGAGAAGATTTTCCTTTTTTACAAGGTAAAAATATATAAACTTAGCACAAAAAGTAAGAAAATGTGTGTTTGGAAGATTATTTCTCTGTTGTAACAAGGCTTCTTGGTAATGCATCTTATACAGGACACCTGAGAAACACCTGGAGGTATCAGAAGCTCAAAACACGTGTTGCAAATAAGTGTTTAGTCAATGGCAAAGAGGATTTGGCAAATTTTCCACATGCGCATCCAACATACTCAGCTCTTCTGCTCCTCCCATACTGTAAATGCGTGTTCCTTACAAATGTGGCGCCATTAACATGCTTTCCAGTGGAATAAGATTTATTGTATGCGGGATGTACAGCAGGAGGGAGAAATGGGGATTTATCCCTCACAGCTGTGACAAGATATTTCAATTATATGAGAGAAAAATAAATAAATAAATGAAGCATGCATATACTGTGAGTGTATATATATATATATAATATATACACACACTCACCGGCCACTTTATTAGGTACACCACGCTAGTAATGGGTTGGACCCCGTTTTGCCTTCAGAACTGCCTCAGTTCTTCGTGGCATAGATTCAACAAGGTGCTGGAAGCATTCCTCAGAGATTTTGCTCCATATTGACATGATGGCATCACACAGTTGCCGCAGATTTGTCGGCTGCACATCCATGATGCGAATCTCCCGTTCCACCACATCCCAAAGATGCTCTATTGGATTGAGATCTGGTGACTGTGCACTGTAAAAAATGAAATGTTGGATTTACTTAACCATGTTATGTGACCTGGTTCCACTTAACTGAGTTGAGTAAATTCAAAGCAATATACCAGTTTTTTAACCAAAGAACATGAGTATGTTGCTTTGAATTTACTCAACTCAGTTAAGTGGAACGGGGTCACATGACATGGTTAAGTAAATCCAACATTTCATTTTTAGAGTGTGGAGGCCATTTGAGTACAGTGAACTCATTGTCATGTTCAAGAAACCAGTCTGAGATGATTCCAGCTTTATGACACGGCGCATTATCCTGCTGAAAGTAGCCATCAGATGTTGGGTACATTGTGGTCATAAAGGGATGGACATGGTCAGCAACAATACTCAGGTAGGCTGCGGCGTTGCAACGATGCTCAATTGGTACCAAGGGGCCCAAAGAGTGCCAAGAAAAGATTCCCCACACCATGACACCACCACCACCAGCCTGAACCGTTGATACAAGGCAGGATGGATCCATGCTTTCATGTTGTTGACGCCAAATTCTGACCCTACCATCYGAATGTCGCAGCAGAAATCGAGACTCATCAGACCAGGCAAAGTTTTTCCAATCTTCTCTTGTCCAATTTCGATGARCTTGTGCAAATTGTAGCCTCAGTTTCCTGTTCTTAGCTGAAAGGAGTGGCACCCGGTGTGGTCTTCTGCTGCTGAAGCCCATCTGCCTCAAAGTTCGACGTACTGTGTGTTCAGAGATGCTCTTCTGCCTACCTTGGTTGTAACGGGTGGTTATTTGAGTCACTGTTGCCTTTCTATCAGCTYGAACCAGTCTGCCCATTCTCCTCTGACCTCTGGCATCAACAAGGCATTTCCGCGCACAGGACTGCCGCTCACTGGATGTTTTTTCTTTTTCGGACCATTCTCTGTAAACCCTAGAGATGGTTGTGCGTGAAAATCCCAGTAGATCAGCAGTTTCTGAAATACTCAGACCAGCCCTTCTGGCACCAACAACCATGCCACGTTCAAAGGCACTCAAATCACCTTTCTTCCCCATACTGATGCTCGGTTTGAACTGCAGGAGATTGTCTTGACCATGTCTACATGCCTAAATGCACTGAGTTACCGCCATGTGATTGGCTGATTAGAAATTAAGTGTTAACGATTGTTAACAGTTGGACAGGTGTACCTAATAAAGTGGCCGGTGAGTGTATATAGATAGATAGATAGATAGATAATCTGATAGTTTTACATGCTCGATGTAGAACGCACAGAAAAAGCTTTAATTAATTGTCCTGTGCATTATATGAAGACAGATTTAATATTCTGGTTTGAATCCAAGCCTTTACTCAAATGGAGACAAGTAGACAGAAAAAAATAATCGCTCTTAAAATAGAATTGAAACTGACACTGTCTGTCAAAGTGTTGCTTTTTAATCAGATTTCCTAATTGAGTAAAACTGAAGGAGCAGAAAATGAGATGGTGGGTTGGAGTGGTCGACCGGTGAGGATTCTTTTTTGGAAGTGAACCACAGARAAGAGCTGGCGCATGGAAATGAGCTTAGAAAATTGAATTTGGAAGGTTGTACATCTCATGGGGGCGAAAATACACCAGTTTGGCAGAGCTGCTGTGTAATCAGACAGAAAAAAAACAAGACCAGTCAAACAAAGAGCTTAGCAGCACAAAAAGGCCAAGCTATCTTTAACACGTGTTATTTRCTGCACCAGGTGTAAACACAGGAAAGTAATAATGCACTTTTCAGTGTAAAGTTTAAAAGGATCTGTGTGAAGTATTAACCGTGAGGGTAATCTGCAGTGTCCTGAATGATCACAGAGGAGGAGAATAAAAGCTGCCATGTGGGATTAAACTGATTCAGTGCTGATGGGCTGTGAGATGTTCAGCTAATAAATCCATTTAGGAGCATGAGAACAATCAAGCTTCTTAAAGTGTAACTGAGCTTAAAAAAAGAGAGAAATATAATGAAACTTCATGACATCAGCATAAGATTTTATATTAGAGCTGTAGAGCAGTTAGGATGAACTGTGGCTGACCTCACTGTGTTTTAAAAGCTGACAGGAACATGATGGGAAAATATGAACGAGACAATAGGAGTAAWTATTACAAAATGTGGGCCTGTTTGTTTTTCTGACTTTCACCCAGCTTTATTTGTTTTTGGCTTTAGCTTTAGGCGTTAAACACTTGTGCAATAACTATATTCTGAGTAGGCTTACATTTTATTTCATCATCTTGAAATGGAAGAATACTTTCCAGYCTTAAGTAGAAATTAGCTCTGAAACTTAAACTTCCTGTTTCAGGTGGAGTTTAAATTAACTTTAAGATTATKACATCTTAATTTGTTCTTGAGAACCCATTGAGGTACAACACCTTCCTAAAATAATGGCCTTAGTCATTTTTTCAAGTTTGTCAGAAACCTCAAAACATGTTGTATGGTTCATTTTAAGCTTTTTATTTCTAAACAAACAAAAAAAAGACATAGGCCATTATTTTAGGAAGGTGGTGATAATTAACCTTGTCAATGACAGTAACACCAAAGTGTGTRATTATGTGAAACTGTGTAAAATTATTGACACTTAAAGTAAAAATAAAAGTTTCTGGGGTTCCACATGGCTCTGTTCTTGACCCAGTCATTTTTATTCTTTTCCCTTTTCTTATAAAATATCATTACAAAAAAAATGTTTCACACTAACCGTATAACACAGACACACAATTGTTTTTCTGATGTTTTGTGCGTAATCCAGATTATTCATATTAAAGACAGTACTGTACCTGCTGGATTTTTAGGAATTTGTCCGAATTAAAAAGGTTCAGAAGTCAGCAAGAGAAGGCGTGTAGACAAATACTGCTGTTTCTGAAACTCAGTCGGATTTTAAAATGTGTTCCTGATGCCAAATCTAACAAAGTAGTTTATATTTTCATGACCCAGTCATGGTTGCCAGTAGCAACAGTGCTTTGAACAAGACCAACTGCATGTGGAAGGGGAAATTAGTCGTATAGCACTCCTAGGAGCAGGCAGGCTCAACACAGCACCCTCACAGCCTGCTTCTAACACATTAGTCAAAGGAAACAAAATGATACAAACTGCTGGAAATCTACAGAACATGAATGCAATTTGGCACTAAAAGAGTGACAAGTTATCTAGCAGCTTCATTATTTCTTTAGTTAAGGTAATCATCTGCTTAAACATAAAATAATTTGTATTATATTTTATTAGTTTAATTGCCACCCCAGACTACTATGGTTTGTTCACATAGAGCAAAAGGTAATAAATTATGACTCTGTGTTCAAATGTCACCTTTCTCCTCTAACAAAGACCAAACAAGGGATTTTATTTTTTAAATATATAATAATAATAATAATAATAATAATAATAATAATAATAATAATAATAATAATAATTTATTATAATAATAATAATAATAATAATAATAACTATTATTATTATTATTGTTGTTGTTGTTGTTGTTGTTAAGTACAAATCTCATGAAACTTCTAACTGTCAGGTTTTATACAATGAACAGAACCTCACCAAAACATTGCATTTGAAAAAACTGCACAACACTACTACCAATAATAATAATAATCTAAGTGGCTTGTGTTTGCATAACACTCCCAAACAGCGGAAACATAGTTTTCACGTTTTTGTTCCTATCCGGACCACTTTGCACGGTAACACCGGATGCTGTCGTGCGACGAACGAGGTTGAATATTTTTCTCAAGTTTTGCCTTCGATTTTGAACGCGTTTACTCCATGTAAGTCTTTTTCTTGATTTTGATATATTATATGTTGGCACGTAAATCGGTGTTTATGCTTCACAATGAAGTTACAGTCTTTAAATAGTCGTAGAGTTTCAGGCTAGGCTAATGTTAGCATACGAGTTACAGTCTAGGCTAATGTTAGCATACAGAGACAAAAGCGCTCGTTGATTGAATTAAATTAAATCGTTTTTGCTACGTTTTAGGGAAAAAACGTTTTTTTTATCACAAACATAAAGAAAATAGCTATATTTACAATTACAGAGTTAGATTAGTTGACGATAACTGTTGTTTTGTACTGATCAGTGCTTGTGTATGGTTTTTTTTTATTACTTTTCTTTTCGTTGGTAAACCACTACTGACTTGTGTGTTTGTAACACCTAAACTCATAAACCATGTTAAAACATTTCCAATAATCTTGCTAAAATCAATTTTTTTCCGCACAGTTGTAAACGTTATTCTCTAAAGCAGAGGTTCTCAAACTGAGGTCCCTGGACCCCTAAGGGTCCGTGAGAGGTATCCTGGGGGTCCTCAAATTTTTTTTACTAAAATGTTAATTTGGTTTTTATTTTTTAAAAATGCATGGAGAACAATGAACTAATAAAACAAACATAATACACTTAATAAAATATATATTCCCATGGCATTTAGGGGTTGAAATGACAATAATTTTTTTTTAAACAGCATGGGGTTTATGAGGGGGTCCCTGGAAATTTTTTTCGCCCTTGTAAGTGGTCCTCAGACCCAAATAGCTTGAGAACCTCTGCTCTAAAGTACAAGGCACAATAACATACAGATTGACAGTAGCTGCTATTGTAAATCGACATGGTTCAAACAAAACGTGCATGAATTACAAGTGGAGCACCTAAATAATAAAATACATTTGTGCTGACGAACTGCGTTTTTGCACATTTTAAGTCTTTAATTTCAGGGAAGGAGCTAAAAAAAATACTCTGATGCATCATTCTTATATATTTAGAAAAGCATCTGGACATTTGTGTGTGTGTGGGGGTGGGGGGTGGGGAGTGATCTCTCAAAATCATCTGATTTTGTGCATCAGTGCTAACATGTGCTACTCTTCCCACCCAGACTCTGACGAACCCATCTCCGTGAGAATGACCGACCGGTACAACATCCACAGCCAGCTGGAACATCTCCAGTCGAAGTACATCGGTACAGGACATGCTGACACCAGCAAGTGGGAATGGTTGGTCAACCAGCACCGTGACTCTTATTGCTCCTATATGGGACACTTTGACTTGCTCAACTACTTCTCTGTTGCTGAGAATGAGAGCAAAGCACGTGTTCGCTTCAACCTAATGGAGAAGATGCTTCAGCCGTGTGGMCCACCAGCAGACAAACCTGATGATGCTTAGGTTACAGAGTGAACTGTGTGGATACTTGTCCYCCTACCCACCCAGCTGAGTTGTGCTTTTGGACATTCAGTTATTTTTTTACAAAAATATATAATAATTCTCATCACTCTGTATCTTGGCCAACAATAATTACATTAGCCTATTARGATGAAGTGATTTATTTACGTAGAAGCCAGTAACAACATGGCAACTGATTGTTCAGGAACTCACCTTTTTCCTTTGATGATGAAGAATTTCTGTCGCATCTTTTTTTCTTTTTTTTTTTTAAGTTTCATGTTCCAGCAACCAGCAAGACAAATTGAATAAAATCTCAAATTAAAAAAACAATCTTTGTAAAACAGTTTGAATGCAGGACTACTTCTGTTCTAGAAATTGTGGAATAACATGAAAAATGACAACTTTTGAGTGAATTTTGGTTTTTTTTTACGTTTCTGCAGAGATCATATGAAAGATGCCAGTTTAGATTTTGCGTTAATCAAAATTTTAAAGTTCCACTTGAAACAAAACTTGTTTGACAACGAAGCTTTATAAATGCATTTTTTATTTACACAGCAGTGGAGTTCAGCGTGTGTTTGGCCCGGCTGAGTCCGGAAAGAGTCCACCTACACCGAATACTCGGCTGCCCACCAACTCTGTGGGTCGTCTGAGATCATCTGTGCGTGACCTCTTGTGCTGCGTTTTATTTTTCCGTTTTAAAAGATGCCTCATTTTCATTATGTGATGTTATGCACCATGTCTGATTCTAACAATTTTGCTTTAAATTGTAAACTAACATCCYAAACAGTGACGAGAGAGAACTCAGCTCAGGATGGATGCAGAGGTGTTTCCAATAGTAGCTGTTAGTGTGCTGCCTCCCCACGACATGTTTTCCTAATGTGAACTGCTCAGGGCTGATGATGAACAGCGAGGAGCTCTCTGAAGTTGCGCTCGCTTTGAGGCTCCCGTGGCGTGCGACGAGAGGAGAGCAGCAGGTGTTGGGCTCCGTATCGCTGACACGAGGTAATTTATCAAAACATGCTGGTACCCAGATTTACTCRCAGGCAGATTTGAGAGAAGCTGCAGTGCACAATGACTCATGGTTGCACGCAGAGACGAGTCGGCGGGCTCCAACGAAGTTTCGATGCTGTGTCTTTTACCTGGTGTGTGTTGGTTTCTTGGTGGGGGAAGCCTTCGCCATCTGTCTGCACCACGAGACAGCCGGGGAGACGGTGATGCCAAGTCAGGCATGAAGCCAGCCAGGCTCCTGTCATGCACACATTCCTACAAATAGGCACAACGGTGACGGAAGCTGCTTTATCCACTTACAGAGCCATAAATAGACGTCAGCACTTTCCAGCTCCAAAAGTCTGTCTCACATTGAATTTTTAATGAATATTTTATAATATTTACAAGTTTATATAAGGAGCATTTATTAGAGGCTTTCAAGAAGATCTAAACCTTCCACTTTRATAGAAACATTTGCAGAGTTGTAAAGTAACTAAGTACAAATACAGCGGGTAAAATAAGTATTGAACACATTCATTTCTGGACATTTATGGTTTGATTTCTTTGTATGTATGGATCACTTGGGTTGTTACC